CCCCAAAACCCCAAAACCCCAAAACCCCAAAACCCCATTTATGAATAAAATTTATTTTAAGGAAGTTATAATGCCAAAAACTACAGGCGAGGATATAGAAGCAGCTGATTTGGGTAAGATTCATTCTTGAGATTATAGAGCACTGACAGCGAGCACTTGAGTCTTCTTTCATAGCAGATTTTGGCGTTGAAGAAATCATTAAACAAGGAGGCCTCATGCTTTACGAACGATTTTTGGATGGCAAAATTGACGGTCATCAGATCGATGTTGTCTCTTCAATGGTTTTAGATGCTGTACAGGTATGATATTTAAAAGCTTAGAGCTAATTCACAATTTTTAGGTAACCCAGATGAAACATGATGAGAAAATTCCTCAAACAACATATGAAGAATGGAGAGAATTCAGAGACGATGAACCTCCTGCAGCACCTTGTGATCATTGGGGGAATGGAGGAGGCTATAAAGTTGAGCAAAAGACAATCCTAATAGGTGTGAAAAGCCCAAGATCTCCTCGTAAAAGACTAAATAGGCAACTCTCACTAGTAAAATTTCAAATAATTTTCACAGAAAAAGAGTAAGACTTCGACTCAGCCTGAGGATAAGCCTTTAAGTTTATTCTCAAAAAGTCCGACTATGACCAAGAGTCAGAAGTACAGGAATGGGAGATTGGTCAATAAAAAGAAAATGCCGCGCCAGGGTAAATACTTACTAAACTTTAGTCAGCCTCAAAGACCCAGATGATCAAGATCATGACTATGAATACGAAGACCGGTGTGATGGGTTTAGAGATATCATCAACCTTAAACACAAGAGAAAAACTTTGAAGGAGAAAATCTTGATCGAAGAGAAAATGAATCGCCAAATAATCTTGGCTAATGGGAAGGAATTCAAGAGTGGTAGGAGTCCAGATATCATCTCATAGACCCTAAGCGTTGCAAACTTACTTACGACCATCATGGGAAGTTGATAGTTTACAAAGATATCAATGCCGATTACCTAACTCCGCTACAGAAGAATGAACATGCTGATTACTGTCTGGGGAAAAGATTTAGAAGACGGAAGAGTAGCCAGGAAACTCCTCATAATCTATCCAGGAATGAGTAGCTTCAGCTTGATAAATTATAGATCTGATAGAAGCAGTGAAGAATCTCAAAAATCTTTGAGCAGCTTTGACATGGATGATATCTCAAAGCCTTTAGCGAGTAAGGGGAAAGAGGCTCAACATTGCCAGCCACTTTCATGATTGAAGTAAGTATCTTGCATTATCATAGACCTCCTCTTGGGACAATGGTGAAACTCAAACCAGGAGTTACCTTGAAAAATGTAAGCATTATTTGTCATATTTTTAATAGGAAGTTCAAAATCCAAAGAAGAGACTTTCAAGAAGAAGGAAAACTCGCTCAAGAGCAAGGAAGAAGGTAGTTGAAAAGAGAAAGGACGAATATAATCAAAATTTACTAGTCCCTGGACAGTCTAGCAATGTTGTATCCACATCAGGCAAGGGATCTTCAAGACAGTCTTCCAGATCTGATGTGAGTTCACTTTCTAGACCTACCTCTAAACTTGTTGCTCCAAAAGAGCCAAAAATTATTGAAAAGAATCAAGAAGATGAAGAAATTTATAGGCCTCTGAAAGATAGAATTCTAATAAAGGGCGATGCAGCTAATAAAACTTTGTGTAATGAAAGTGATACAAGAGCAAGAATGAAGATACGCTTGAAAAAGACCCATTCTTTTTACAGTACAAAGATTGTAAAAGCTAGGAACACCTATTCTAATAATCGGTATAATCTAGGAAATAGCTCCCAAGACCCCCAAAGGAGAAGAGGTGAGAGATTTTTGTAACTTCTTAGATGCTATTGGGTTCAAAACTGAAAATAAGTTCTTTCATAAAAGAAATGGCTCAAAAGATTCAAATTACCAAACTAACTCAAAAGAAAGGATGTCAACGACTTCCTTCACAAGATATGCTAGGAATACTCATGGAGGAGCGAATATCAAGGTTTTTCAAAGAAATACAGACTTAGGAGTTACGAATACTAACTCCAGTGCTAAGTCTTTGAAAAGATCTTTTAATAAATTTGACAGCTTTAACCGCACAATTTTGAATAACAATCATGATTTGTCACACCAAAAGGTGAAGAAAGGAGATATCCAGATGGCTTTTAGGCCAATAAGGGACCCAAATGTGATCAATTCTTATCACTCAATCACAAATCCAGCGTAAATTTTCACAGTTAGATTTTATAGGCACTTAAAAAGCACAAAGATACAATCTCCAAGTAAATATGCTCTCTTAGATGATGACTACAATGAAAGTCTTGGCTCTCCGGTTCTTCGGAGCAGCTATCTTCACAAATTGAAGACATTTTCAAAGCTACCAAGAGAGAGGTTGCCTCACCAGTTAATGAAGCAGAAGTTGCGTAAGGTCCAGTTAGACCACCTCTAGGCATAAGCTCCTATTTTCCACATTTTTTGGCTTGTAAGGGGTTTTGGGGTTTTGGGGTTTTGGGGTTTTGGGG